GAGGATCCCTTTGCTGATCTTGATATCTCGGCCGATGAGGAACTGGAGAATCTTGTCCAACAGGTTGCACCTGGAAGTGGAATCAGTACTTACCTGGAGTCCGATAACGAACTTCCAACCTGTTACAGTCTTCTTACCGAACAACAGCTGCTGGAGGCCATTGGTACTTCTCACGATGTCATGGAAATAGAGAGTGACGAGGAGAATGAAATGGAAAAAGAAAATACCCCAGGTGAAGGCGAACGCTCAAACGAAACAACCCCTTTGAAAAGTTTCAAGGACGTTCTGGACAGTGTCCAAAACATTTCTGCTTTTTTGATTCATAGAGGGGAGTTTAAGGTTGCTAATGAATTTAGTCTCCTTGGCGACAAAGTGGGGGAAGTTGCAATTCAAAGGAGAAGTACACAGAGCCGATTGGAACGATATTTTAAGGCAATGTGATAGCTGATGCAATCAATAGCTGATGTTCAGGTTTTTCCTTGAAAATAACTTTTTTTAGAGATGTAGATTACTGTACTTCAGTACAGTAGGAAACCAAAACGATGCATGTGTGGGCATTGCTGCAACATACGACTGTTTTTTACGTACTTAGAAGAACTACTGTACACAAAGGGTACGTAACTCCTGTTCTGTTAAGTTCTGTTCTGTTTGTAAATAAAGTTCTGACGCTCTTTACTTGCGACAACGGGTCTGAAAAAGGTACTGGAGTTAATAAAAATGAACACACATGTGACCCCCTTCTGTAAATATGGTTTAAAATAAAAATTTTCTCGCAACCCGCTATTACGGACTCTCGCTATTACGGACACCAAATCGCGGTCCCGAGGGTGTCCGCTATAACGGGAGTTGACTGTACCTTGTTTAGAACATTGCATCCCTTTTAACTGCTGTAAATGCACTGTCTTTTAAATAGGAATCAATCACACAAATAGAAAGTTTTCTCGACTTAAAAAGCCATAAAATTCATCTCTTAGCCCTTTGGACCCTTTCACAGACCCGAATGACAGATTTCCCTACCCGTTCGTACACCTCAACGAGTAAAATCCTAGCCTGTGTACAGACGTCCTCCCTCCCTCAGGAAAAATTGGGAGAGGAGACGTCTGTGAATCGCCGACGATAATCATGTTTCCGTTTCCCCGGAATGTTGGGGACAGCCTCTGATTGGTTGTAATTTTAATGCCATGGCGCAAACAATTTCCGGTGTTGTGACTGGTGAATGTACTTCAGAATAGATTCCCCGGGGAAAAGTTCAGCCTTTTTGGACATTCACATTTGTTTACAGGTATTTGTATTTCGGCTCTCTAGAAAAGGCATGAGAAGTTTAAGAGAACTTCTCTGCATTTGGTCAGATTGGAAATCTTTGAATGGATTAAATGTCTTAAAAGACATTCACATCAACTTCAGGGAAACTAAGCTGGTAGAAATTTCGTAACTGAATTCACGGCTCATTACGCATGCAAGAATGCACACAGAGATGAATCTGAAATCTACAACTACCAACGGTTCAACTTTCGAATAATAAATACATTAATGGGATCTTGGGAGGTACGCTTGACCTGGCTTGACTGTAATCAGAGATCTTATATCTGGATCTTTGGGTGGACATTGCGTGAAGATGTTCGGCTAGCCTGTGCACAGACGCCAGAGCTATTTTTCGACCTACATGTGCCTTTTCAACTGTCAGCGAAAGAACAAAAAAAAAAATTATGCAAATGGATACCTAAACACGATTAACGACGGCGATTCACAGGCGTCTCCTCTCCCGATTTTCCTGAGGAAGGGGGGACGTCTGTACACAGGCTAGTAAAATCCCTACCCTCAACCTTTCATATACCTGAAGCCGTGAAAAAGGCACCCCGTTCGGGCGGAACCTCCCCGTATAGGCCATTATGGGGAGTATCCCCCCCGGGACCTACCAAGTCCACATAAATGTGATTTATTTAATTCCAAACTGAACTAAATCTTCTAACGTTTCTGATACATTAATTAGTGATCTGTGAACGAAAATCCTATCGTGCAGCGCTAATACTTTTTTAGTTTTCTAAACACGCGAAATTAAAACAAAGATAACATACCGGTAAAAGTTCCACAGTCCACATTATTCATTATTGAGACTGAAACTATTTATTCAGCAGAGTTCGCACACATTTTCAAATTTGTTTTAGCTGACGTTGGAAGTTGCGCAAATTCCATGACCGGACCGAGATGAGAAGACGCCACTTTACTCCACAACGACAAAGTTACTCCCCAACGTAAATAATTTGTTCCCCCTCACATTCAAATTAACCTATTAAATCAAGATAATTGCTTTTGACTTTCCAGCAAGCAAAAGCCTACGACAAGACATGCCCACGGACATCGGGAAAGACGTGGTTGATGGTTCTACTTTCAGCCAAGCCTTGTTTAATGATGAAGAAATTGTGAAGATTCGAAAAGCTGTCATTAAGACGGAGTTTATCAAAGGGATGGTTAAGGCAACTCTCAACGCAAATCATTATGGAGGCTATATGGTGCAAGATGCTGCCTACTGCTTTGATGCTGTGGAAGTGTTTGAAGCGGCTGCTAAGGAAATGAAAGAAAAAGGAATGATTGAATTTTCAGAGATCTACCAGTCACAGTCAACGAGTTTGAAGGAATACAATGAGGAATTTGCTACGACCTGGCATCTACAGAATGCCAAAAGCATAGTTAAGGGTCCTGCAGCAAAGGCCTACCTGAAATTTGAGAGGAAAGTAAGCCGTGAATGTCCCAAGTTCCTAGCCATTGCCATGTTACCATGCCATATGCTTTGGCCGTGGATTGCCAATCAGCTCATTGATTTTGTTGCCGAGTGGAATCCGTACTACAAAGGCTGGTTTGAAGAGAACAAGACCGATCCAAATCACAAAGGTCACCTGGAAAAGTTTGTTGATCATCATTTCGCTGATTTCGTCCCTGAGGAAAAGAAGGCTCTTGATATCTTCCGCAAGGGAATGATTCACGAGTTAAATTTTTTTCGAGAAGCTTGTAAGGAAAACCGTTTCGACTATGACTTTTTCTCTAAGTGACTTAAAATTGCATTTGTGTGTGTGCTTATTTTTTATGAATTCAAATACGTTGTTGTACTATAAAGTAATTACACAACAGTGTGAACTCCTAATGCCTCATTATTCAATTATAGATTAGCATGTGTTGGTTTTGAAACGTGATTTATTTTCGTTAATCCCTTATTAGTGCACGAACGTGCTTACGGTAGTTACTATAAATCGATTGATCGCCTGCACAACTGATGATTTTTATTGATAACCCCACGGCTGCTTTCCCAGCCCTTTTCTGTTATGTCAACACGGGAAATACGTAATAATTTCAAGATCGTTTTCAAGCACGTCTTGTTTGTAACAAAGGTAGCGTTTTCATCTAAGTTAGTTCAGTTCTAGTGTAGACTTCATGGTGGTAACTTTTGTCAGCCATTGGGGCTTTATTTCTACCTACACTCGTGCTCATCTCCCGGGGGGGGGGGGGNTTTTATAACAATATTTCGGCTGGCCATACCAGCCTTCTTCAGGTTTACAGATGTTACTGAACTTATGTAGCAATCACAATATTATATAGATGAAATTTGGGTCGTTGGGTTTCATGAGCACCATTTTCCGACACTTAATTTGTTTCCAAAAAATCAATTAAATGCCATGACATAGCTAAAATAAACATTTTTTCCGTTTTGTTATACAGTAACTGCAATGTTAATTTGTGCTTTCTAGTTGCTACTGACGCCGATTATAACAAACTCTAAAAAACATGACTGCCTTTACTTGTAATACACGTTAATGGGCCTACTTAATAACAACGTAATTTTGCTTTCCTTTCCTATGTTTCCCAATACTATGAATACAGCACGTTCACGTTTGTCTGAATAACAAGTACCTAAGCTGCATTAAAATGATTGCCCTTATACTATTTCTTATAGTTCTTTTTGATAAGCCGTTCTGGAGAAAAAAAATCAACTGAAACCCTACAATATAATACAACAGAACTAAGATACTTCCGATTGTCCATGCCTTGCATCTTAAAAAGAAACGTAACCGCTCAATTTAGTCAGTATGGTCCGCCTTTGGACGAAGCCCACACCATGCAGGTTTCTCCGTTTTCAGTAAAATTAAGCTAAAGCTACTTGAACACAAAAATCAGGATCCACTGGATTCAACGAGATTTTTCAATTTAATGCGGTCTTTACACTTAAGATTGCAACTTTTAAAAGAATCCGTACTACTTCACTCGAGTGAAGAGACGCAGCAAGATATCTGGAAAAAACGATTGGTGGTGCATTGAGATTGATAGCCATAGGCGACCACAAGTGCATTGATCTCATATGGCTGAGCACGGCTCTCTCTTCCACTTTGAAACAACTGACATAACTTAAAATAGAGTGCTCATCAAGCCGATAGCTCCAGTCCTACTGATTCTGAATGTGATCGTCTGGCAGAGCCAACATTCTACTCTAGGTTGCCGCTAAACAATTTCAAGTTACAAATTTTAAATCCGGTGAACATTCGAATTGACCAACAGTGGTTCCAACTTTCTTTTAAGGAAGTTGTAGGAATTATTTAAATAACTCATACACCTTCCCTCCCTTATAGAGCCATTTTCGTATGAGCTTGAAATGAAAACGCGGGAACAAAACAGAAACAACAAACGAACGGAAGTAGAGCGATTTACCGAACGGATACAAACGCGCGTGGCCGGCTTTTGGTTGAAAAAACTTCTTGAATCAGTAGGACTGGAGCTATCGGCTTGATGAGTACTCTATTTTCAGTTATGTCAGTTGTTTCAAAGTGGAAGAGAGAGCCGTGCTCAGCCATATGAGATCAATGCACTTGTGGTCGCCTATGGCTATCAATCTCAATGCACCACCAATCGTTTTTTCCAGATATCTTGCTGCGTCTCTTCACTCGAGTGAAGTAGTACGGATTCTTTTAAAAGTTGCAATCTTAAGTGTAAAGACCGCATTAAATTGAAAAATCTCGTTGAATCCAGTGGATCCTGAGTTTTGTGTTCAAGTAGCTTTAGCTTAATTTTACTGAAAACGGAGAAACCTGTATGGTGTGGGCTTCGTCCAAAGGCGGACCATACTGACTAAACTGAGCGGTTACGTTTCTTTTTAAGATGCAGGCATGGACAATCGGAAGTATCTTAGTTCTGTTGTATTATATTGTAGGGTTTCAGTTCAGTGATTCTTTTCTCCAGAACGGCTTATTAAAAAAAACTACTATAAGAAATAGTATAAGGGCAATCATTTGAATGTAGCTTAGGTACTTGTTATTCAGACAAACGTGAACGTGCTGTATTCATAGTATTGGAAAACATAGGAAAGGAAAGCAAAATTACGTTGTTATTAAGTAGGCCTATTAACGTGTATTACAAGTAAAGGCAGTCATGTTTTTTAGAGTTTGTTATTCGGCGTCAGTAACAACTAGAAAGTACAAATTAACATTGCAGTTACTGTATAACAAAACGGAAAAATGTTTATTTCAGCTATGTCATGGCATTTAATTAATTTTTTGGAAACAAAATGGTGCTCATGTAACGTAACGACCCAAATTTTAAATCAATACTTGAAGGCTTTTTGCACGCAAGGCCATCGCACACAGGCCGTTTGCACGCAATATATAATGCTGATTGACACGCTTATTGCGCTCAACCGAATGCTTTTTCGTCATATTATAACGCTGAATCTACACAATTAAGGCCTTGTTTTATACCTGTGTATAGTGTTGTGTGACGGAAACATAAGAACTGTAATTTGTTATACTTAAGATAGAGATTAAAAATGTAATGATCGAGTGTAGAACGTAACGTGAACGTACAACGAGTGTAAAAGGAAGAAAATCTTGGGAATAAAATACAGTCCTCAAAGAAGTCGTATTGAACGTGGATATTCCCGAACATTAAGGTAAAACATTTAAAAAGTTTTCTAAATAACGATGAGCACCAAAATGGCTTAGAAAAGCTCTTTTAAGGCATTCTTTAGCGTATGTTCTCTCATGAGCCCGCAAGAATTTTGGCCGCTTTCAATATAGACTGTTCACAGTCCTCTATTTTTCCGTAAGATCATCGAGATCGAGAGCTTTGCGTTACGGGCTGCCATCTTGCATGAGTGTCAAAACTACCTAGGGGGCGGGGGTGGTTTGGGAGGAAGCGGTTTCTCGTTCCCCCCCCCTCCCCCCGAGCTATAATCCCGGACGCCCGCCCCCTTGGTACATTTGAAAATCAAGATAGCCGTGACGGTAAGACGCGGTATATCTAAACGATCTCACGAAAAAATAGGGGGCTGTGAACAGTCTACTTTCAATAAATAGCAACTATCTTATTCGTGAGTTCGCGATTTTGGCGAGACAATCTTTCGCGGGATTTTGATCGTCACAATTTCAGTAGGCAAATATGAAGAAGGGGAATTTAAAAGTTTCGCGATTCAAGCGTTCTCAACTTCATTTTATTCAAAAAATCTGAACTTGTTAAAATTTCTAGATAAACTGGAACAAGCATAGCGCATACTTAAAAGGAATTTGTGCGTTGAATCTAGCGGTTCAGATGAAGATGATAGCAAGGTTCTCTATTTCATATGTCAAAAATTTGCGGATTAACGTTATTTTACAACAGAAGATAAAAAATGGAACCTACCAGTAAAACCAGTTAATAATTTGTGTAATGATGATATGTTTTTGTTATTTTCTTGTTAAGTTATTTTTAAGACAATAACGGAAAGTTGGGAATCAGTTCCGTGGTCTTTGCATTTTGCTTTTAGGCAAATCCCAGCTAAGCTTTCACCTTTTATAAGCACGATAAGTATGTGTAATCAAATGGTGACGAGTGAAATTAGGGAATAATTTCACGCGCGTTTTGTCCAAATCCTAATAAAGGCTCGGGAAATTATTCAGACTATTTCTGCAAAATACCTTTAAGAATCCTCCTTGATGTTCTCTTGTGTGTTAAGGTTTTCTAAAGCTTTTTTTTGTGCCCTGACATCTTCATTCACGGCATTTTAACTTGACACTGAGACGTACGGAAGGTTGCCATGGCAATTTTGTAATTTCACATGTGATGATTACAAATTAACGCGGAAATTTCGCGCCAAAATTAAGGAGTAATTCGTCACCTATGATATTAGTAATTTTATTACCCAGTAAATAAAAAGATACTAGCACAAGAAGCCATATGCCATAACCATTTTATTCAGTATTTTGTTTTTAATGTCATAGGTGACGAATTACTCCTTAATTTTGGCGCGAAATTTCAGCGTTAATTTGTAATTTCACATGTGAAATTACTAAATTGCCATGGCAACCTACCCGTACGTCTCCGTTTCAAGATGGCGACGAAGTTTTAAAATGTCATGAATGAAGATGTCAGGGCATAAAAAGACGCTTTAGAAAACCTGAACACACGAAAGAGCACATCAAGAAGGATTCTTAGAGGTATGTTGTCGAAAAATTCTGAAAACTTAAGCCAAATTTCTACTCTAAGCTCTTATGTATGAGACGGTTTCAGTTCTAACTTTGGGTGTGTATGAAATCAGACTAAAATTTGCTAACTTAATTACAAGCCCCTGGACCTCGGCGTGAATGCTTCCAGATAGCATCATTAGCTTTTCAGTCAGTTTTACAAAACAATTTTTTACACTTCATCAAACTGTTCTGAAAGCCGATTTTCCAGGGCAAACTTTGTCTGGAGTCAGGAAGTAATCACCGCGGTTAAATCAGTTTAATACACCCTGCCGGTCCGAGCCGTGTAAATGAAATATATGTATCTATTTGTATAGGTAATAGCATGATTTGTAGTGATATCTGGCATAAATACAGTATGTTGCCCAGTTTCCGGACACTTCAGTTTAACATTACAATAACTTTCCTTTGTTAGTCGCAAGAGCTCTGAAATCTGGCCCAGAGAAAATCTATTTAGTCCTTAATATGATGAAAGACAGTTTAACTTTTTCGCCTTTGTTTCCATCGCGAAATTAATACTTTTGCAGAGCTCCTATGTTGCCCAGTATCCGGACAGCTGGCCCGGTATC